TTACTCCGCCATGAAGTGATTGTCTGAAGGCTGGAACAACATATCCGCAAAGACTATTAGAATTTGTTGGTGGCACACAGGCATCGTCTCCAAATTAAACATGAATTTTCTACTGAATTAACAAAATAAATATCAGTGCACTGGATTTGCGTTTGTTTTATGTTGTGTACTTACGCCCTGGTACTGTTGATATAGTCCGCCCTGCCGAATTGGAGGTGCACGACTGTACTATCATTGTTTTTCCCAATAGAAATTAAGCATTTTTTCTGAAAACCCTAACGGTTAATTCTTTAACGGACTGGAGAAGTAGCCATTTTTATTGGTCTGTATTAAAAATAGCAACAGATGATTGGCTTAAAAACGGCTAAAAATCTCAATGTTTTCATTGGTTGATACGAAGCTCTATCACTGCATAGAAAACACAAGTAAGGTCGGACAAGTGATGATATTCATCCATATCTGGTCGGACGGGTAACCCAATTTGCTTGCTCGGATTATCACCACTGATCCAGGCAACTAATAACGTTGCAATCCTACTTTATGGTTCATACAACGGGGGTGATCTGTCAATGTATAGCCAGCGATCGTATTCCAACGTTTCACCAGAAATATGAATCTCGTCGCCAGCTATTAATAGATCGTCTGTCGAACATTGGCGTTCTCATTGAGTATATCAGCAGCCTGAAGGGACGGTTGGCAACCAAAAGCTGATAGCGAGCTCTGCCGGGTCAGTTATGAAAGCAGTGTAGTGACGGAAGAGAGCATTGTCGCTGGTAGCGAGTTAGCAGCCAAGAATCCTCCGTTCTTGCTTCAAGGAGAAAGGCTGTCGCTCTATCCTGTTTCATCCCGGATCTGAACAGAATGGTACTTTAAGAACAGAATGCAATCTAGGGAGGACTAGCTTGTACTTCGGCAACCATGCCGTCTTCGTGGATTACCCGACAACGAAGAGCTCTGTACAAATGTTGCCAACCCGCCAAGGTCGGAATGGCCGCAGGAAACAAGTCCCGTTGCAGCGATTCCGTGCGGCCAGCTGTCGTTATCCGCGATAGGTCGCTTCCCGTTTCGGCGTTGCCAATGTGCGCATTCGATCATCGAGTCGATGCACAGCCTGCACGGCAGACCTTTTGCGGTGTTGTACAGAGCTTGTAAACCATACTGTTGTTTAGTATGTGCGTGTATTGTCCAATGCAGACGAGGCCGAGCAGCGAAAAAAGTGAAATGCACTGCCGTGTCGGCCTGGCCGACTGGTCCTCAGCAGTCAGCCTAATAATAGATTATCGGGTATGTACTCAAAGGCAACGTTGTATACTACTGTATTGGCAAGTTTAGTGCCTTGGCAGTCGACGTGCTCATTGCAAACGCGAAACGATGCCAGCTCTGATCTTGACTCCAACGCTGCAATGCAGACGTACGCCACTAGAACAGCAAAACTTAAATAAGAAGTTTCCTGAATCCAGGCTGTTTCAGCTTAAAGGTCCACCTTCCTCGCGTTTAGACTACTTTGTTGAATGACTTCATTTCGATTTAGCCGTTATAAGCAGCACTAATACGAACAATTTATATATCGGCACACTAAACCGAGGATATTGAAGCCCAGTTTTTGGTTCGAAATTTTGATCTCGCTCTCAGTTTCTAACTTCCAGCCAATCACCGCATAGCGTGTTTTTCTTCAGAGGTGCAAAAATCCTTATTCGACGAGTTATGCAGCAGCGCGAACACCTGTCGCCGCACCGGTAAGCTCCAGCTACATTTTGATTCTTCCTCGCCGTGCACGTATTTGACAATCGTCGTTGCCATGTCAACGCATTACAGAGCGACAGAGCGCCGCGAGCACAGCCCAGAGTCGGGAGCCGACAGCGACGCCCCGCGGATACCTCGCCTACTTCCGAGCCGCGCCGTATTCGCCACGGAGCACGCTGCCGACGGTCTTCTGGGACTACTCGCCAGCCACGCTGATAAGCAACTGCCACTATTGGACCAGCACGAGCTGCATCGGCGGCGGCAGCTGCCAGGCAACCCTCTACCCGTCATGTCGCTTGAGGCTTCCGCCAGCGCCTTGCACCCGGCGGGCATTCTACAGCGAAGCGAAGCGACTGCTCAGGAACGACCCAGAACCAGCACCACCAGTGGCTATATAGAGGACAAGGCTCCACTGGCGTCGCCGCTTGTGTCGTTTCTCGGTCGGTCCAGCAAACTAGGTTCACCTCGCCTGCCCGACAACGTGACGTCACCTCGCTCCGTGTGGGAAGAGAGCCCACAGAACGAGAGGCTGGACCCCACAGCGAGTCCAAGACAGACCGTCACCTCCACTAGTCGACTCGTTCCTACGCCGCCTACCACGTCCTCGTGGCGTATACACAATCTCCTCTCGCCAGACCCGACAGTGAATATTCAGACCTACAGCTCTCACAAGCGCCGCACGCCTCCTTCTTCGCCACCTCAGGAACAGACAGACGTAGCAACAAGCGCTGCAAAACGTCCTCGTCTTTCTCGTCGTACGTCGTCACAGTGGCGTCAAGAGCTGTCACCACGTGACCGCGCCAAGACACGTGAGCGTATCATGCGTAGTCTGCACATGCACTGTCAGGGTGACTACGAAAAGCTCGTGCTGATGCTCTCAGCCATGGAGGAGGAGCTTCTGCATATAAAGACGACGTCTACTGAGTTCTACGCACAACAAGCTTTTGAACTCAGCGACCTCATCGAGCACGCAATGCTCGAACGTTAAACCCTCGCTGAAGGATGTGTGCATATGTAAATGTGAGGTTCGCGACGGGAAACAATAGATCCCGAAGCCGGACTGATACGACGAGAGGAGATGGTGTCGTAGGAAGCGCCATGGGACGAGAAATCGCAAGGACAAAGCGGGTCCCTGGAGTGCGCATAAAGAGAAAATATGTCCAGAAGGGAGTCACCCACAAGAGCAAGTCAAAATGATTAAATAAACAGGATGTGTAGATGCAACTGGAAATAGCAAACACATTTAGAGAAATATCCTTACTTAATTCTTAAAGGCGTCTGCTCAGGGAAGGTGTCTATTTGAGATCAGGATTGAAGAAATCTTGAGCCATGGCGAGCATGCAGCTACAGGATATTCGAGAAATGGGAGAGGCCATGACTAGAGCTAGAGAGTTGTGTCTGGAAGCGCAGTACGAAAAGGGATTGGAGCTGTATCAGACGACGCTGCAGAGGCTGACTCAGTTCATCCGTCGAATGACGAAGATGTCCGAGCGACAGCCGTGGCTGCAGGTACATGCTAAAGTCTCATTTTTCAAAAGTTTACTGTCGCTAAGCTATAGCGCAATGCAGATGCAGATAGAGCTGGAGAACGAGTTGAACCTCATCACGGACTATGTCGAGCTCACCCAAGCTTTCAAGATTCCACCTGGAGCAGCTAAAGCGCGAATCCACCCAAAAGCACAACGACAGGGAGTTTCAGCTTCTCCCCACTGGGAGATTTGCGTTCCGCCTGATCCACGACGCCCAGATCCTAGCGTAATGTTTGATCTTCTCTGTTAACTTTATGTTTTTCCGCTTCAACTTGCCATTTGTGTCGACAGGCCGAAGATGCAAGAGACCCTGACGTATGGTCACCTCCGCCCCCGGAAAAGACCCCAAATCGGTTCCATGGAGGCGCTCCTGGTGTTCGTGCGGCGCCATCATGGGCAAATGACAACCACGGCAACAATAACAACAACCACCGCAACAAGTACGTGAGCTCTTTTGTATTTTACCTCATGTTACATGTCTTTAATTCGCATGTGAAGTCGAGTGGTTAGGAAACCGTCAGCGGGGGCTAGAGTACCTTCGGGGAGACGTACACCTGGAGACGATCAACGACGACAAGCACCACGTCGAGGTGGCGCTAAAGCCCCACCAGGTCCCTCCCCAGCCAGACAAAGTAAGGATGGAGGACTGAAGGCCGCTAGAAAAGAGAATGAGAAGGCACGAGAACGTGGTGGAGGCGGCAGTGAGAAGCCCAAGTACTCCGATAAGGCAAAAGAAGAAGGCTGGGTGGACTTGGAGCTAATTGAAATGATCGAACGCGATATCGTAGACTCGGGACCACCGGTCACCTTTGAGCAGATTGCCGGACTGGAACACACGAAGGAGCTACTGCAAGAATCTGTGATGCTACCTCAGATCGCTCCTCATCTATTCAAAGACGGCCTTCTCAAACCATGCAACGGTGTTCTCATGTTCGGTCCACCCGGCACAGGCAAGACGCTACTGGCAAAGGCTGTAGCTAATGTGTGCAAGTCCACATTCTTCAACGTGTCAGCGTCGACACTCGCTTCAAAGTATCGTGGTGAATCTGAGCGCATGGTGCGGATCCTCTTCGACATGGCACGATATTACTCGCCATCGATTATTTTCATGGATGAGATTGACGCCATCGCTGGTGTGCGCGGTGGTGCACAAGAACACGAGTCTAGTCGTCGGTAAGCCGTATCAATGAGTAGCTGCTTGTGAATTGAACTAATGATTGCTGTCGTCACAGGGTGAAGACCGAGTTACT